CGCGCCGCCTGCTCCGCAGTGGGCCCGCTGAGATTAAAGAGCCGGGAAATGGACGCGGACAGACTGGGTTCGGCTCTGCCGACCGTCCCCTGCGCGTGGCCCTCCCAGCTGACGTGCTTTTCAGATGCCCTTCTTCAGCGTGCGGCCCGAGGAGGGATCTGATCACAGTCCTGCGTTGGGATGCTGCTGCTGCTGCTGCATTCAAACATTTGCCGGGATGTCTCCAGAGATTCTTGAGACGGCGTTTGAAGCACGTTAGGAAGTTTCAGTGCAAGGAAATAGCTGGAGGTCCTACTGAGATTCTCGACAAGCGAGATTATGAACGACATTTTCCTGCAACGGTCACATCCTGGCATCACGGTGAATAGTGGTTCGCAACGTCTGCCTCGCACTCAGTAGTCCTGGGTTCGAAACCCTGATGGAGCAATACTCTGTTCTGGTGATGCTTTGTGTGGATTTTCTCCAGATACTCTCAACTGTCCTGGAACGCGTGATGGAGGCAGGTTGTACTGAAACAAATATAGTCACAAAAATGCTTCGAGGGTCACACTGGAAAAACTAAATCCATAACACAAACAAAGTCCTGAAAACCCCCAAACTCAAACTCACAAAAACCTATCACACAAAAACACAAGGGACCAAATCCTGTTTTGAGACCTGAATCCCTGAACCCAGACTTGAAACCCTACTTTGAAACTCTCATCCAGGATTGAAACCTTCATTTAAAAGCCTCTAACCCTGATTGAAAACCCCACTTTACAACCTTGGATCAGTTCTTTACCAAACGCCAGGCAAAAACCATTTCCGAGAGAGGACATGAACTAAAGAGGACAAAAAAACGAGGATGCAGTCAAAAGTTAAATGACCATCATTTTTATTCTTGACTCTATTCTTTGTTTTTGAATCCCTGAACCCAGACTTGAAACCCTACTTTGAAACTCTCATCCAGGATTGAAACCTTCATTTAAAAGCCTCTAACCCTGATTGAAAACCCCACTTTGCAACCTTGGATCAGTTCTTTACCAAACGCCAGGCAAAAACCATTTCCGAGAGAGGACATGAACTAAAGAGGACAAAAAAACGAGGATGCAGTCAAAAGTTAAATGACCATCATTTTTATTCTTGACTCTATTCTTTGTTTTTTACATTATGCACAACTCTCATTTATTGTGCAAGAATCAAATTGTAACTTGTATTTGTTACATATTTTGTTACATATTTTCATTCATGTCTGAATTTTGGGCGGGCTTGGAACGGATTAGGGCATTTACATGGAAAACGCGTCTCGACTTACAAAATGTTCTAGTTAGGAAATTTCTTCCAGGACCAATTCATTTTATAAGTCGAGGTTCCACTGTATGAGGAAAAGCATCACTCTACTTAAGTACTGATCCCTGAAAAATGGCCTCCACTCCATGAGTTCAGTATTTTGTTATTTCCCACCAATAATGGAAAGAGCAGAGACGATACGCCGCACTGGGCTGTCTGCGCGTCAGCCTGCCTGCAGCATCAGTATGCCGGCAGCGTGGTCATGTGTCTCCTCCCCCCCCTTCCCCTACCCTCCCCCCTGCGTCCACCTCGCCTTTATGATTCCCACTCTCAGTCATACCTGCAACCGCACCCGTCTGTGTGTGCCCTCATTCTGCAGCTCATCCTTCTTTCTGAGGGCAGAATGGAGCTCCATTTGGCTTTAGCTGCCAGTGCGGCCTTCACTTACTGCACCGCTGAAGGATGGCCGGCCCGCCGGACAAACCGAGCTGCTCGAGTATGGAGCGCTCCATTGTCAGTATTTCTACAGGGAACGCCATATGACTCATTAAGACCGTACCTTGAAGTCCTAACCGAGACTGAAATTTGAATATTAAAAACCCTGGCTTGCTGTCCACCTTGGAAACGCTGACTTGACACCAGAGTACCGCCAACGAGACGGTTAGCTTCCAGTCATATGCTTGCGCTTGTTCCTTTGAGTGCACTAGATGCAGCCATTAATTGCCTTGCAGATGGCTGTCGTCGTGTCTATATTCGTGTGCGTCCGTGCGTGCGTGTGCGGGTGTGTTGCGTCTCAGTGGGTGTCTGGTGAGAGAGGGTGCTCAAGTGTGGAGGACTCATCATAGGTTATTAGGAGCAAGCAGGGGGCCAGCAAGTTTAAGAGGCAGAAGCCATGCAGCACAAAGATGAAGAAGAGGCGAGTGATCCTTGTGGAATGATGGGACCGCTATCACGGCTTCGAAACTCCACGCTCGGGTTACCCTGCCACTTTGTTTGAAACGCTCAGCCAGGCTTGAATCCCTACTTGGAAACTCGAACCCAGACTTGAGACACTAACTCTGAATTGGAACGGGACTTTGGAGCCCAAACCCTTATTTGAAAGACTTAAAGAGGCGTCAAGCCTTGGTTCAAACCGAAAACCAAGTCAGACACCTTAATTTGAAAGCCTCAACCACAGGTGGCAAAGTCAAGGCCCGGGGGCCAGATCTGGCCCGCCACATCATTTTATGTGGCCCGCGATAGCAAAGCAAGCATGGCAAGTTTCATGATGCTTGCAAAAGTCTGATTCAAAATTTCAAAGTGTCATATGTAATCCACAATAACAGTCATTATTCTTGACTTCTGATTTTGAAACTAGTGTCTATCCATCAATTTGTTGTGCGCTGTGTATGTAATATGTGGAGGTGATTAAACATTTCTATGGTTTCCCAAAATTCATAATGGCCCTCCAAGGGAAACCATAACTACAATGTGGCCCACGACAAAAATGAGTTTGACACCCCTGCCCTAAACCAAGATTGAAACGCTAATGTGTAACTGTAGAAAAACTTACTTAATACCCTAACTTGGAACATAACACCTGGCCTTGAAATCTTAATTTCCAACCCAAACCGTAGGTTGAAATACCAACCCGACTTTGAAATCCTGTTGCTCAAAACAATTCCTCGCAGCCCAAACCCTGCATTGAAATCCGACCTTTTGCTTCAAATCCTCATTTGAAACCTCAACCCTCATTTCACATCTTTCCTTTGAAACACTAACCTTGTCTTGAAACCCTAAACCAGGAATGCAACTCTGTCATGAAACCCGAATCCTTGCGGAATTTATCAAAAAAAAAAGTCATTTGAAACCCTAATTTGGATCTCTAAGGCACATTTACAATATATGGTGCATGTGCTGTAGTTGAACATGCACAAATGAGACGATCTGTCATTGGCTGTTGCTAATTTCCCGCAGTGCATCATCACCGCGAATGAGCAGCAAGGATAAAACTCCGGGCAACCTTGTCGGCCATGTTTAATTCATCTTATATTCTTCTAAGATGGGAATTAATGCCCGCTTAATATTCAATATTCTTATATGCTGCTTCGCGCGCACGTGATTGCAACATGATTATGAAAGGCTTCGCGTCGCGTGTGGGTGCCGCGTTTGGGGGGGGGGGAGCGAAGAAGAGGGCGAGCGAGCGAAAGCACGAAGACGACGTAGCAGGTTTTTTTTTTTTGTAAATGACTTGGTTAATTCTGTTTTCGCCTCAGCAGTAATGCTTAAGTAATTGAAAGCAGAAACAAAAATGGAACTGAAAGAGGCAATTTACGGGGGCACGACTGCGGAAGGGGAGTCGCTGCGTTTTCCCGATGCAAACACACTCGGAAATTACAACTCATTTATTTTGCCGCTTCTCATTGTCTGCGGCGTCTTGACGTTGAGCTGCCCCGCTGGGGGGGAAAAAAAAATACATTGATAACAGTCCTCAGACTGTTTTTATTCTGCGTAATTGGACCTTGTTTAGAGTCGTGAAGTGTTAATTATAAACAAGACCGAAAAAAGGTGGGACGTGGATCTACATTGTGGGGACGTTTTCGGATGAACCTAAAGTACACTTTACAGGTAAACTTGACCTTCTCGAACCTTTTGAGTTCATGTCCAGTTGATCTACTTTTCAAGACTTATGCACAACTTGTGAGAGCTAGCTGGCAACATTTTGAGCCATGAATATCTCAAAGTACGCTCACTTTTGTGACTCCAGGCTCTTCCAATAAATCTCCCGGTTCAACCGGAATTGGTATTTAAAGTCCTCTTCATCACACTGTTCACTTTTTGACATCAAGACACCGAAACGTCGCCGAACCACAACGCGCAACTTATGAACGTCTGCTAGCTTAATGCTACCACCAAATATGCCCGGTATAATACCTCTCACTTTGTTTATTTAAATAGAGAATAATGTATTGCTTGTGTTTGTCGAAATATAAACGGGAAAGAGAGCCTTCAAAAAATAAATCGCATTGAGATTATTTTGCAAACGCGATCAGCCCTAATTCGAACCCTGAACTTCAGAACTGCGAGGCAGACATGCCGCACCACTCGGGTGCCGTACCGCTTTTCCCAAGATATTTACCAAAGATAGCAACTTCTCAATCCTCACCTGCTCTAACGAGCTAACCTACGCACAGCGCGCCACGTCTGCTGCTGTTTTATTCATTGACGGAGCAGAAAATGGAAGTATTCATTCCCGTCACGTCTCCAATTAGATGTCCCGCCGTTCTTGTCTCTTGTCATCTCCCCGCAACGTTTGTAAAAATGGGACGTGTCGCCGTGTCCAAATGGAGGCGAGCCCCGCGGTCGCCTTCGTTTTTGTTCCCGAAGTGTACTCACATTAGCCTCATTTATTCTCGATGCGGGTGTGTGTATGTATGCGGGTGTGTGTGTGTGTGTGTGTTTTTGTCGGCTCTGTGCTACATTAGCCTCACAGTCACAGGTAATGATCTCATCTTCCCGCTGGCATTGAGAGGCACAAAAGGAGAGTCGCACGTGCACGCGCGCGTATGCACACACACACACACACACACACACACACACACACACACACACACACACACACACACACACACACACACACTGCCATTGTAATGTTGCTCTAATGGGCTACCTGACAAGTGCTTTTTCTTAATGCAGTGCCCCCCCCACCCCCTTCCCTCATTCCCACCTCTCTTCTTCTCCTTGCCCTGCAGGTGCGCGTTTACCCGCCTTTGAGGAGCTCTGACATGGATGCCAGGTGTGCTTATGCTCAGGTGGGTTGCTCAGTAGACGCCGCTAACAAGTCGCGTTGGGGATGGTTGAATTTGCCATCAGTTTCTTTGTGCAAACCGCATTTATATGCTGTCTGGGCACAGAGCGGAGATTGTCTCCCTTCTCCGGAGGTAGTTTTCGAGTCTCCACAAGTCTCCAGTAACACTGTCGCTAAATATAGCCACAAACTTGGAAAGCCTTAGTACCCCTCACCGAGTCTCAATGTCCTAGCTCCAGTCCATGATGTCATAGAAATGATCACGATGCTTGAGCAATTTCAACTAGACTCTGATATATGGATTTAAAGTGCATCTATACACGTGACCAAGTTTATTTGTAGCCTACCATTAAAGAAAGAAAACAGTTACAACAGTCAATGAATCAAACTAGTATGGTACGATGCGGTTTCAAGACTACCATGGCATGTCCTGGACAAAAATATGCTGTTCAGTGTTGGAAAGTCTGGCTTTTGCTATGTTCTGGGGCGGCTTTGCTACATTGGCACAGGATGCCTTTAACCCGTGTCAGGTACAATGAAATGTCAGTGCATTCCAGAGCAAAATGTCCAGTCCAGTGTCAGAAAGGTTGGTGTCGGTCATGCTCTGGGGCTGCTTTGCTATATCCAGCATTGGGTTTCTTGAATCTGTGACTGGTATGATTAAATCTGAAAGCGATCGAGGGGATCAAGAGAAAAATGTGCGTAATGAGGGCCGACATTTAATTACGTCCAGTAATCCCAAAACGTTCCTGTCTATCGGAAGGTCTTTTAGTGCTCTTAACTCCTTACTGGCGTGAGCAGTGCCTTGGAGCTGAGCTGGTGTGCGTGTCACTGAACCACTTAAAAATGAATGAGGACAACATTTATAGGAAAAGAGCCAACCGTGAATTATTCATTCACGATATTGAGAATATACAACGCCACTATGTCGGCCGGGCTCCTCGCCCCCCCTCCCTTCCGCCATCACTGCACATGCCCAGTTAAACAGAGTTCAAGCAGGGTCGCTCTCATGGCGCTTTGGTCCCATGTAGCCCGAGAGATTTTATTCCGTCTTTACCTTGGTATTTCTGCCGTTACGGTTCCGCCACCTCAGCCATGTGCTTTTAATGGATCAAAGCCACTATCAGTCTGTATCTTGGAGCACACAGCGCATGAATAGTGTAAAACAGACTTTAAGTCCAACAGATAATGCAGAATAAAGAAGGCCATTAAAGCGATGGAGTAAAAAGGAAGTCGGGTAAATATCAGCGCTTCATTAGCCGCTTTCACAATGCCTGTTAAATCACTGCCAGACATTTTCAGACACTCCTTTACTTTACCATTTTGGGACAGTTTGGAACGGATTAGGGCATTTACATAGAAAACGCGTCTCCACTTACACATTTTCTAGTGAAGAAATTTCTTCCAGAACCAATTCATTTCGCAAGTCGAGTTACCATTGTATGTAAGTCCTAAACTGCTCAGATGAATCTTTTTAAAAGAGCAAACCCCGGTTTTATATGGCAGGCTAAAGGCCGCAGCACTGTTCCATTGTGGGAGCTTGTAGGTGAAACAGGTCGCCCCTAATCTCATTGTGCCGTTGTAAATTCACCTCCAGACTTATCGACAGAGCCCCCAAAGGACGTCGCTATTTACGGCCGCGGACTGATGCCTGATGAAAGATGGATATCTTTGAATATTATGTATGGATGCGAGGCTGACGCATTTTAAAGAGGCAGGAAATCTTTTTTTTTTTTTTTGATTGACTGAAAGGTCACCCAATGACTCGTACGGTCAGACCGGGCAAAAATGCTCGGCATGCCCAGTGGGATGATTCAAAAATCTCAATGGGTCATCCACCAACGAAGCCAAATGGTCACCTGAGCTCCAAAAGAAACGCAAACGCTACAATCAAAGTAAAACTAAAAAAAAATCAAAAATAAAAAAATCAAACGAGAGATCATAAAGATGATTGAAGCAAGAAATGATTGATGACAACATCACTCATCCAGAGATTAACGGGTTAACAAAATGACTCTTGTCTCACAAGAAACTGTCCCTTTCTACTCGGGATCCAATTCTGCCTCTTGGGACGCGATATCATTAGCATGTTGCAGAGAGGAGAAAGCAGGTGTGTTTTCTTTGCATAGCGATATACGCCGCTCTTCACATCATTTCCCTTCCCCGAGGGCGCGTGGAGGTGTTTTTTCTCACTGCAAAAGTGGCAAACTTCAAACTAACTTCGCAGAGGGAGAGCGGGACGCACGCACGCACGCATGCACGCACACACACACAAACTGTAATAGTCGTTGTAGCCTCGTCGCAACTTCATTACCATGGTAACAAAAGCCTTAGCTAGGTGACTTAAAAGTGAGGCTGAAAGGCTGTAATGCTTGATCACAGACATTAAGATACCTCGGGCACCCTTTATCATCAAGAAAAAAAACATGTTTTGATTTGTTTTTAATTGGGGGGGGGACAATAACAGGTAGTAAATATGATACTCTTAAGGCATTCACACATAGACAAACTGTGACACTGCTGAGCCCATTTCAACTCTGTTGCAAACCAAAACAGCAGCACCGAAGCCCCTAAAGCACAGGTGTCAAACTCAAGGCCCGGGGGCCAGATCTGGCCCGCCACATCATTTTATGTGGCCCGCGAAAGCAGCTCAAACATGTCAACTTCTACAACGATTGCTAAACTCTGTACCAAATTCAAATCTAAAATCAAACATTTCAACTTCTCATATGTAAAAAAGAAGAGATATATTCTAAGCATTTTCTTGTGACCAAACCCTTCATGATGGGAACTTGAACAATAGGTAAATCAACAGCTATTCTTGACTTCTTTGTATGGTTTCAGTCACAACGGCCCTCCAAGTGAAACGGTAACTAAAATGTGGCCTGCGCCAAAAATGAGTTTGACACCCCTGCCCTAAACAGTCTCTCAGAGTGATGAAAGTGTGAGCAGTGAGTTTCACGAAGGTTGTGCACTAAAATGGAGAGTGCAGGGCGAACGTAGCGGTAGATCTGACAATTGGTGGCTCCACAATGTTGAATCCCCACGACACTTTTTTTTCTCACTTTACTCACTGTCATGTGTGTGCATGCGTGCGGTTGCCTGTTCACTTGGATACCCGCATACGACGATTCGATCCGTTGGACTTTTCCTGTTGAGGACAGCAAGGAGTGAGTTATCTGTGCATTCAAGCCGAGGGGGGGAGTGGGGAGGAGGAAGACGGAAGGAAGGGAGTGGAAGGTGAGAGGAGGACGCAGACACCGAGATGAGGGTGAGGCACAGATGCAGAGGTTGGAAGATGCAGCAGGAAGGGCAATGAGACACGGAGGTGTGGGAGGGTTGTGCACAGATCGAGAAGCTCCAGCCACTGACAGGATGAGAGCGTAAGACAACTTTGGGGGAGGGGTCACAGTTGATGGAATGCTGGTAGGTCAGCAGCTCATAGACAGGAAATAGATTTGAATTACTTTACGATGTTTTCTCAAGGCGGCCTGGTGATCGAGTGGTTAGCACATCGACCTCACAGTGCAGAGGTTCAGGGTTCGATTCTGGCCCTGGCCTTCCTGTGGGGAGTTTGCATGTTCTCCTCGTGCTTGTGTGGCTTTTCTCCGGGTAATCCAGTTTCCTCCCACATTCCAAAAACATGCATGGCAGGCTCACTGAACGCTTGAAATCGTCCCTAGGTGTGAGTGTGAGCGCGAATGGTTGTCCGTTTCTGTGTGCCCTGCGATTGGCTGGCAACCGGTTCAGGTTGTCCCCTGCCTACTGTCTGAAGACAGTTGGGATAGGCTCCAGCACCCCCTGCGACCCTTGTGAGGATAAAGTGGATCGGAAAATGGATGGATGGGTGGATGTTTTCTCAACTACACACAGAGGTCATTCAAAAAAACAAAACAAAAAAAATAACGTTCATTCATTTTTTTTCTGGTGCGTGTCCTCATGTCCAGCTGACTTTGAGCAAGCGGTGGCCCGTCGCAGGGCTCACATCGTAAAACCAATTCATGTGAACACGCAAACTCCAGAGATTCCAACCTCGAGCCTCATAACATTGGATAAGTCGCTCCCCCGTTTCCATTTCCATGATACAGTATGTACCCTTTCATGTTAACCGTGCTTTCCTTCCAATTTCAATGTTTCTCAGGGGAAACAAAATAACAAAATGCCCTGAAAACATCACATTTTTTTTCTCCCTTTTTTTAATTTCAAAAGTCAATCCGAGCCTTGAATCCCCTGCTTTGCCCCACTCTCCTTTCATCTTCTCCTTCCTCATTATAGTTTGGTAATATACATTTTTGCTCAACCTCAGCCCCCACCCCACCTGCACCCCCTTTCCCATCACTTCCCTCTACTCCTTGAAAGCCGCAAATAGGACAGTCTGGCATCGGAGGGGTTAAGAGGAGCCCCAGCCCGCCATTGGCTGGCGTGCGGCAGAAGGAGGTAACCAGGCAACCTCGGGGAGAGAGAGCGAGAGAGAGAGGCTAGAAGGAGGAGGAGGAGGAGGTGCTGAAAGAAGACCGGCATAGTTTGGAAAAAGGGATTGAGAGAGAGAAAAGATGTGAGGAAGCTTGCGCGCGCTCTCCCCGGCATGGAAAACTGGATTATTGCGCCCACTGCAACTCTCTGTGGATGTGTGAATAAACCAACAGGAGGAGGCACACGGGAACGCCGTTATTAACCTTGCTTTTTCATTTTTATCACATTTTTATTCCTTCCAAAATGGGAACTAAGTGTGCTTCTTTTTGCTGCTGTGCAAAGGTAAGTGCAGAACAGGTGTTGGAAAAAGTGTGTCAGATCCTGCGCTCCAATCACCGCAATGCAATATGTGCTGGTGCATTGAGATGTTTAGTGTGTGTGTGTGTGTGTGTGTGTGTGTGTGTGTGTGTGTGTGTGTGTGTGTGTGTGTGCGTGCGTGTGTGTGTGTGTGTGTGTGTGCGCGCGCACCCCCTCAGTGAGACATATAGAGCGTGTGTGCGCCGAGCATCTGCGTGTGTGATTAGGCGGGAG